CCACTAAGATGTAGAGTGTTACTGAGTGCGTACGAATATAACAAAATGTAAAAAAAAAACATTATTAAGGAGCAAGAACAATAAAAGAATAGAAAATAGGAAGACAGAAAATAACAATTGACATTACATTTCATTATTTGAAGATCAAATTTGACTAGAAAGCAAGGAGTCGGATTACAGTTCCACATGCGAGAAGTGCGATAAAAGAAACTATTAGCATAGAACTTACGGTTGCATCTAACCATTTCACCTGTAAAAGGATGAGACCTAGCCGCCACTCTAGTACTGCTTTTAGATATATGGAGTCTTGGTAGCATTATTTTTTTTATCCTTTTGAGAAAAATAATAATAAATTGCGAGTATGGGAAAATAGATATTTTTCTTTAGGAGAAAAAAAAATAGTGCAGCTGTATATGAACGGGTGCATCTGCAATCGGACAAGTCCTCTCAACTAGTCATATAATAAAGCCTTTGACATATAGGAACAAGGTCACTACAGGGAGAATATCTTTTTTTAGGCAATAAAGCCACTACGACGTAGAGGGCTACTGAGTGTGTAAGAATATGAGAAAAAGAAAAAAAAATCGGTAGCGAAACCAATAAAAGAACAAGACAGAAGATAACAAGTGACATTACTTTAAAATTTTTGAAGATCAAACTTGACTTGAAAGCAAGAAAGCGGAAGAGAGTCCCACAAGCCAGAAGCGAGAGAACAGAAACGGTTAGCATAGAACTTACAGTTACTTCTGACCATTTCAACTGTAAAATGAAGCGACCTAGCCGTCAATCTAGTACTGCGTTTAAATTCATAAAGTCAAGTACCTTAGGGAAGGTCCATTTTTACCACTGATTTCGTTTTTGAAAAAAAAATAATAATGAATTACAGGAGAGTGAGAACATTTTTCGTTTCGGTCTAAAAATTACCCCAGTTGTAACTGAACGGTTGCAGTTCGAACCTGACATAAGTATCGCTGGAGATATCGAGTTTAAAAATAATAGAAATAATATAAAAAAACAAATAGCTATTTATTTATGGAATTATTTATTTTTACAATGATGTTGATCCCGTATAAGATCCAAGAGACACTCGTGGTAAAAGGTTGCATAATAAGAAGTACAGTTTATAGGGATATTTGGGGAATATAACGGGTGGCACTTGACTTGTTAAGATGGTAGTGATCTAGGAAGCATTCTCATAGAAGTCGTTTCCACAAAGCAGTGGTTCGTAGAAAGAAGCTGTTCGAGTGGAACTCTTTCCTTTAATGGGACTCGAGAGGAATAAATGTGGTTCGGTGCAATGTGCGTGACACTGCAGATCTTAGCCTTGAGAGTTAGAACTGGTGTAACTAAGGAAGATAATTATTCCGAACACTTTTTTTTTATGGAAATAGCGTTAGTGAGAGTTTTGTGCGGTCTGTAATAACGTAGTTGTAGGGTGAAAAATAATTAATCACCCAAAAAGACGCAGAGACGCTTTTGAAGTCTATCAAGACAAGAAAGGCAAGACTGGATAGCACCTGACCTATATGACCTTATAACTCAATTTTCGATCAGCCTTTCTTCTTGTAAAGGACAGCAGTAATGGTGAGGTACATAATTGATCTCTATATGGAACTGGCCATTTTTTTCTAACGTTTTTAGCATTGTTTCGTGTGGACGCTTTCCACTTGAGGTCTAGGTTAAGTCCCAACGAGTGCTCAAGGAACTGTACCTCTCTGAGGGAGCACCCGTTCATCGTGAAAATTCAGGCTCCGCTCGGTGATAATGGAACGTCACTAGTTTGGTTTCCGTGCCATTGAATGTAGCCAGCCAGGTCGCTCCTTCCTCGACAGCTGTTAAAGATAAGTTAAAAGATACATCAGCTGCCAACCTCTAGTCATGGAGAATTTTGGAGGTTCGGACATGAGTCTTTTGTATCATCAGTATATATCTTCGCAAATAATCAGAATATATCCTTAGGCAAATTATTTACACAAATTAGAAAGAGAAATTTAGATCGAGATCGAACCCTGGGGAACGCCTGTGTTGACCGCTTGGCCCACGAAGGACTAGTCACTAATAACTACCTTCAGGGACCTACCCGTTAAGAAGGACTTTATAATTGAGAAGACAATTCCAGTGATTTCATAGCTAGAGATCTTGTGCAGTAACCCTTTATACCATACATTGACGAATGCTATAAATGCGTTGAATATATTAATCTCCTGTTCTTTTATCTTTCTATTTTTTTTCATGAAATATGTTCATTCTTCCTTCAGTTAAAATTTTCTTCTTTTTTCGTTTCTTTTTCTTTTTCTGAATCGCTTTTTTTCTTTTTCCCTTTCTGTCTATTCGTCTTTTAATATTTCTGCTTTTCCCTTTTTCTTTTTCTTTTCCTTTTCATTTCTTTATTCTTTTCTTTGATGTTTTCTCTGTGTTTTTATTCTTTTTATTCTCTTTCTTCTTTTTCTTTCGATTATTTTCCTTCATGAATTACGCTGATTCTTCCTTCATTTGTAATTTTATTCGATTCTTCTTTTCATTTTTCTTTCACTTTATCTTTTACCTTTTCTTCTTCATTACCTTTTTTTCTTTTTCTTCGTTTACTTTCCCTTATCTTATCATTGCTTCTTCTTTTTAATTCTGTTTTTTTATTCTCTTCTTCTTTTCTCTTTCTTTCTATTCATTATCTTTTGCCTTATTTTCATTCTTTTTCTTAAATTCTATTTCTCTTTCGCTTTTACCTATTCTTTTTTTTGTCTCTTCTTCTTTAACATTTCTTCTTTTCTTTTTTCATTTTCTTCTTCTCTATCTTCAGATTCGATTTTATTCTTTGCAGTTTCCTCGTTTGTTTTCTTTCAATTATTTTTTGTAATGAATTAGGATTTTCATTTTTGTTGTCTTCTTTTTCTTATTTTGTTTTCTGTTTCTTCTTTCGATTTTTGTCCTTTTTCTTCTTCTTCATCTTCTTTTATTAATCTTATGATTCGTTCTTCTCTGCTCTTTTCTCATTTGTATTCATTTTTTCTTTTTTCTTATTCTCTTTATTTTTTCTCTTTTTTTTTCTCTTTTTTTCCTTCCTGAATTTTCTGGAGTGTTCCTTCTTTTGTCTTCTCTTTCATTCTCTTTCTTATTCTTCTTTTCTGGTTCTAATTTCCCTTTATACTATTTAATTTTCTGTTTATTCTTCTTCCTTATTTACCATTTCTTTGTTCCTATTTTTCTTTTTCTTTAATCTTATTTTCTCTTTCATCTTTACTGTGCATTCTTTTTAGTTTTGTTTTTCTCATTCATTTTCTTTTTTTACATTTTTGCTTTAATATTTCTTCTCTTTTTTTCTCTGTTTTTTTTTTCTTTTTGGTTTCTTTCTTTTTTTTTTTATTATTAAAAAATCTTTTTTTTTTTTTTTTTTCATTTCATTTCATTTCATTTTTCATTCATTGAAATTTTCTTTTTTCCTTTTTCTTCTCTCTCATTGTTTTTTTCCCAAATTCTGTTTCGGTTTAATCATTTTCTCTCAGAAGTGATTTTAGTTGTTTCTTCAACAAATTCCCTTTTTCATTCATTTTCTTTTTTTTCTTTTCTTTTTCGTTCTTTTTCTTTCTTTCTTTCTTTCCTTCATTTCTTTATTTTCTTTTTCTTTATTTTCATTCCTTGCTACAGGATTCTTTCTTTTTTTTTTGTTTCTTTTTTTTTTTCTCCTTTTCTTTCCTTAAATCTTTATTTTCATTTTTCTTTCTTTTTTTCTTTCTTTCTTTCTTTCTTTTTTTCTTCTTTTTCTTTCTTTTTTTTTTTTGTTGTTCTTTCTTTTTTTCATTCTTTCTTTTCTTTTTCTTTCCTTCATTCTTTCTTTCATTTGAAGAATTTTCTTTCTTTTTTCTTTCTTTTCTTTTTTCATGTTTATTTTCTTTAATTTTTCTTGCTCTTTTCTTTCATTGATTCTTTCATTTTTTCTTTCTTTTTTTTTTCTTTTTTTTATTCTTTCTTTCATTTTCTTTCAAATTCTTTCATTCTTTTTTCTTCTTTTTCTTTTCTTTCTTTTTTCTTTTTTTTTTTTTTTTCCTTCCTTTCTTTTTTTTCTTTGCTTTTTTCTTTTAGTCTTTCTTTTAAATTTTTCAGGCTGCTTCTTGCTCTCTTTCCTTCATTTTTTTTGACGGGACTTTTTTTTCCTTGCTTTTATATTTTGGCTCTTTTTTTGTTCACTTCTTTTTTTGGCAGATTTTTTCTCTCCTTCATTTTTTTTTCTTTGTTTGTTTTCATTTCTTTTTTTTTTTTTCAAAGTTTTTCCTTCCTTTCTCTCTTCCCTTTCTTTTTTTTTCTTTCTTTCTTTTTTTCCTTCTTTCATTATTTGTTTTTTTTTATTTCTTCCTTTTCTTTCATTTCTTTTTTTTTTCTTTTTTTTTTTTTTTTCCTTCAATTTCTTTTTTCTTTTTTTTTTTTTCTTTCATTTTTTTCTTTTCATTTTTTCTTTCTTTCCATTTTTCCCTTCAAATTTTTCTTTTGTCCTTTTTTTTTTCTTCTTTCCTTTTTTCTTTTGGCATTCTTTACAATTCTTTATTTCATTCTTTTGGTTTTTTCCTTGAATTTCGTCTTTGTTTTTTTTACCTTATTTCTTTTGTTCCTTTTCATTACAAAATTTCTTTTTTCTTTTAATTCCTTCGTTCTTTTTTCCTCATCATTTTCAAATTTTAACCAGATTGTTTTATTAACCAATATTGAATCATTTTTTTTCATCAACAAATGTTTTTTAGACAATTCATTTCCAGAAAATTTTTAAATCTTAAATATTTTTTAGTCTACCATTTTTTCTTTCCTTTTTTATTTTCCTCCTCCTTCATTCATTTTTTTTTTCCTCTTTCTATTCTTTCTTTTTATTTTTGAAGAAAAATCATCAACTTTCTCATTTTTTGGCATTCTTTTTTTTTTTTTTTTTCTTTTCTTTTTTTTTCTTTTTTCTTTCTTTTAAATTTCTGTAAATATTCAATATTTTCTTTCTTTTTTTTCTTAAACTTTCTTTCCCGATGGTTCTTTCTTTTTTTTTCTTTTCATTTTTTAATTTTTTCTTCGTCTCTTCTTTTCCAAAGGAAGATTTTTTCTTTCTGAACAACAACGTCTTCTATTTTCTTTCATTCTTTCTTTCTTTCTTAACAGTGTTTAGGAATCTTGACTTTTTTCTTTCTTTTTTTTTTTTTTTTTTTTCTTTAGATTCATTTTTCTTTCTTTTCATTTCTTTCTTTCTTTCTTTTTTCTTTCATTTTCTCTTTTCTTAATCTTTTTTTTTTTCTTTCTGAAAAACTTTTCTGCTTCTTTTTTTTTTTTTCTTTTTTTCTTTTCTTTCTTTTTTTTTCTAAAATGATCTTCGTCTTTCTTCTTTCTTTCTTTCATTTTTTCTTTTTTCATAGGCTTTCTTTCTTTTTTTTTCTTTCTTTCTTTTTAATAGGAAAATCTTTCTCTTTTTTGTTCTTTTTCTTTCTTTCTTTTTTAACGTCTTCGTTTTTCATTTTCCTTTTTTTTCTTTCTTTTTCTTTTCTTTCTCCAAACCGGAAAATTTCTTCTTCTTTTTTTCTTTCTTCTTTCTTTTTATTTTTCGTCTGCTTCTTTTATTTGCTTTCTTTTGTTTTGATTTTTTCTTTTCTCGGCTTTTCCTTTTTTTTTTTTTCTGATTCTTTTTCTTCGTCTTTTTTTTCTTTCTTTCTTTCTTTTTAACGTCTTCGTCCAGTTCTTTTTTCATTTTTTCTTTTTTTTTCGTAAATCTTTTTTTCGTCTTTCACTCTTTCTTTTTTTCTTTTTTCTTTCTATTTTTTTCTTCGTTTTGTTTCTTTCTTTCTTTCTTTCTTTTCATTTTCGTCTTTTTTTTCTTTCTTTCTTTTCTTTTTTTCTTTTTTTTCGTCTTTTTCTTTCTTTTCTTTTCTTTCTTTCTTTCTTTCGTCTTTTTGCTTCTTTCTTTTTCCAAATTCTTTCTTTTTTTTCTTTTTTTCTCTTTCTTTTTTCTTTTCTTTGATTTTTTTCCTTTTTTTATTCTTTTCTTTCTTTCTTTCTTTGTTTTTTACGTTTCGTCTGCTTTTTCTTTCTTTCTTTCTTTCTTTCTGCTTTTTCTTCGATTCTTCCGATTCTTTTTTCTTTCTGAAAGGAACGTTTTCTTTCTGCTTCTTCTTTTTTTTTTCTTTCTGATTTTTTTCTTTTTTTTTTCTTTCTTTCTTTCTTTCTTTCTTTTTTCGTCTTTTTCTTTCATTTTTTTTCAATCTTTCTCTTACTTTCTTCTTTTTTTCTTTCTTTCTTTCTTTCTGATTTTCTGATTCGTCTTTCAAGAAATTCTTTCATTATCTTTTCACCTTTTCTTTCTTTCTTTTCTTAAATTTTCTTTTTTCTTTTTTTAACTTTTTTTATTTCTTTCTTTCTTTCTGATTTTACGTCTTCGTCTGCTTCTTTCTTTTTTTTTTTTTTTTTTTCTTTTTTTCTTTCTTTCTCTTTCAATCGTCTTTCTGATTTTCTTCTTTGTTCTTTTTTTCTTTCTTTTTTTTTCTATAATTTTCTTCGTTTTTCCTTTTTTTTCTTTTTCTTTTAATTTCTTTCTTTTTTTTTTCTTCTTTTCTTTTTTTCCGATTCTTTCTTTCTTTCTGTCTTTCTTCTTCTGCTTTCTTTCTTTTTTTTTCTTTCTTTTTTTCTTTTTTCTTTCTTTCTTTAATTTCTTTCTTTTTTCACTTTTTCTTTCGTTTGCTTTCTTTCTTTCTTTCATTTTTTTTTCCCTTAGAACGTCTTTCTTTCTTTTTTCTTTCTTTTTTTTCTTTTCTTCTTTTTTTTATCTTCACTTTTTTTTCTTTCTTTTTTTTTCTTCTTTCTTTCTTTCTTTTTCTTCTTTTTCTGGTTTCTTTTTCTTTCTTTCTTTTCTTTTTTCTTTTTCTTCTTCGTTATTTTTTTTCTTTCTTTCTTTTTTCTTTTTTCCCTTTTTTCGTTTTCTGTCTTTTTCTTTTTTCGTTTTTTTCTTTTTTTTTCTTTTTTTTCTTTCTTTCTTTCTTTTAGGAACGTTTCTCTTTCTTTCTTTCTTTCTTTTTTCTTTCTTTCTTTTTCTTCGTCTTTCTTTTTCTTTTTTCTTTCTTTCTTTTTTTAGGAACCCTTCTATTTTTTCTTTCTTTTCTTTTTTCTTTCTGATTTCTTTTCTTTTTTCTTTCTTTCTTTCTTTCTTTCTTTTTTTCTTTTCCCAACTTCTTTCTTCTTTCTTTCTTTCTTTCTTTCTGATTTTTCTTTCTTTCTGTCATTCATTCTTTTTGATAATTTCTTCGTTTTTTCTTTCTTTTTTTCTTTTCCTTTCTTTTCTTTTTTCTTTCTTTTTTCTTTCTTTTTTCTTTCTTTCTTTCTTTTTTCTTTCTTTCTGATTTTTCTTTCTTTTTTTTCTTTCTTTCTTTCTTTTTTCTTTCTTTCTTTCTTTCTTTTTTTTTTTTTCCTTTCTTTTTTCTTTCTTTTTTTTTCTTTATTTTCTTTTCGTTTCTTTCTTTTTTCTTTCTTTCTTTCTTCTTTCTTTTTTCTTTTCTTTTTTCTTTCTTTTTTCTTTCTTTCTTTCTTTTTTTCTTTTCTTTCATTCTTTCTTTTTCTTTCTTTCTTTCTTTTTTTCTTTTTTTTCGTTTTTTCTTTCTTTCTTTCTTTCTTTTTTTTGTTTTTTCTTTTCTTCAATTTTTTTTTTTTTCTTTCTTTCTTTAGTTTTTCTTTTTCTGTTTCTTTTTTTTTTTTCTTTCATTTTTTCTTTAACTGGAACATCTTCTTTCTTTCTTTTTTTTCTTTCTTTCTTTCTTTCTTTTATTTTTTTTCTCTTTCTTTCTTTCTTTTTTTCTTTTTTTTTGATCTTCTTCTTTCTTTTCTTTCTTTCTTTCTTTCTTTCTTTTCCTTTCTTTTCGTCTTTCTTTTTTTTTCTTTCTTTCTTTCTTTCTTTGTTTCTTTCTTTCTTTTTTCTTTCTTTCTTTCTTTCTTTCTTTTTTTTTTTCTTTTTCTTCGTCTTCTTCTTTCTTTTCTTTTTTCTTTTCTTGAAAAATTCTTTCTTTCTTTCTTTCTTTCTTCTTTCTTTTTTTTTTCTTTTTTCTTTCTCATAACGTTTTTTTCTTTTTCTTTCTTTTTTCTTCCTTTCTCTTTCTTTTTTTTTTTTTTCTTTTTTTCTTCGTCTTTCTTTTTTCTTTTTTTTTTCGTCTGCTTTCTTTCTTTCTTTCTTTTCTTTCTTTCTTTCTTCTTCTCTTCTTTCTTTCTTTCTTTCTTTCTTTCTTTTTTCTTCTTTCTTTCTTTTGATTTCTGA